ACAGGTAAGACAATGAGCAATTTAGATTAAAATTCATCACTTAGGCTTACTTTGTCATTCACGTTCTCTCCTTTGAGCCTCTGAGTATAGATAAAACGTCCTGGAAAAACAATATATTGCCGAGATCCAACCTGTAAGAATAAAAAACAAGTTAGAAGTCAACTTTAAAACTCACTATGAACATCACCAAATTATGTTTTAACCTAAAAAACTTGGGTAATAACTTGAACATTATATCAATAACTCAATAATAGTACAACCCTCTTCTGCACGAACATAAACCAATATCTAGCAAAAATATAGCACCCTGTCAATTAAGTCTAATATATTACTCAAAATTAATCAAAAGTAAGTAAATTCAAAAGAGACAACAGTAGTAACATATATCGAAGAAAAAAGGCATTTGAAAACTGTTGGGAGGAGTTCACACAATTAGCTCAAGAGATTCAACAAAAATATATGTGCAAAATAGAGTCTAAATGAAACTGAAATTATGAACAAGAATCTGAACCAAAACTGAATCAACACTAAGTAAACTGACAAAAACACTAAGTCATATGCCAGAATAAAAACTGCATAAATCGAACACAATCGAAGCTGGAAATACAGAACAATAATCTGTAATACATTCTCAGTAAATCCGAACTCAAGATATAAACTACAATAATCAGGAAACTACACTAAAGTAGAATAATCTGCACAAACGTCAGTACACAAACTGGAACAAAATGACAGAATAGTAAACTGTAAAATGAAAGAACCGTAGCTTTGATAATGGCCGAAACCCACAGGTTTCACTCCTTCAGTTCAGCTCCTCAATCCTCAAGATAAAACGCCACTTTGCTCGAATCACACCCCAAGGTAGATTACAAAGGAGACACTCAGACTGGACCCGTTTATATCACAAAAGATAACTCTCTTCGCACCACAACACAAGATTCACACAAGAACCAACCCTCAACAATGAAATCACACAAGATTTATAAGCTATTGAGAGAAAACTAGAAATCAAATGACCAGATTAGATTTCTACAGCAAAGAAGAGAGGAACACGAAGAAACGGCGCAGAGAGAGAGAGCACGAGAGAATGAGAGAGAGTCTTGCAAGAAGATTACTGTGCAAACCCTAGGGACGGTATTTATAGGAGTCTCCACAAGGTCCCCAATCCAATGGTGATGGAGGTTACACTTGGTGACATCCGGACCGTCCATAAATCAGGTAAGTAGAAACACAACTTCTTCATTTCTCAAACACGTTTCTTGCACCATAAAACAGATTTTGGGCTGGGCTTAAATTCCAGCTGGGCTAACTCAAATGGCCCATTAGGTCATAGCATCATTGTGCCATTTTTCCCTTCATACTCCACCTTGGTACAATGATTCATACATCAGTGGTTACTCAAAAAACACAGATATCATCATCACAGAACTGCAGCATCCACAACTCAGCAACAAGGTGCAACTTTCAGCAAGGTCAAGCAGTCCAGAAACTTGTTTAGCAGTAGTACCTCAGTACCTACATCAGCAGGGTAGTAATTAGCAGATATCTATTCAAGTTTCACAACTCCTTGTGAAAAACATATCTAACAAAAATGAAATCTAATCATCAACATGCTTAGATCTATTTTTCAAAATAGGATTTCTACTAAAAGTGAGTTGCACATAGGCAGATAGGTTAGAACCACCCCCAGGTTGCTCCACCTCAAACTTAACCCTTTTTCTCACATGTTCAGATTGTTTAGAGGTCTTAAAACAGATCTACAGATTGCTGTTCAGACATAAAAACAAGCACTCAATGAAGAATCACACAAGAGTCATCCACAGTTTCAAACTCTCTTGCATCGCGCACAAGAATACATAATAGCCCCACCACAATTCACCCAAGAATTGCACTACAACTCACTCAAGAGAAGTACATAAGCTAAACTAACATTAGATATACAAGAGGTTAGAACAATTATATAAAAGTATAAGAAACTGAAACAAGAATACTAAAGTAGCAGTAAAATAGAAACAGAAAACCAGCCGAAGCCCAAAGGTTTCATTCCTTATTGGGACACATATTATAGGTGCAACCAGAGTCAAGAATCCACTCTTGACAAGGTGGATAGCTAACAGCCACATAAACTTCATCAATAATAGAATCACCATAAGCTAAAGCAGCCCCACCATCATTTTTAGACTTATTTTCAGAGTCATAAAGCCTTTTAGGACAGTCTCTAATAAAATGACCTTCTTCTAGACAATAGAAACATTTTTTCCCTTTTGTCATCATTTTATTTTTGTCCTTAAAGTTGCCCTTTATCTTATGACCAGGTCTCTTGTTAAAATTACCATTGTTGGAATTAAACTTGGACTCCATCATCAAATTAATGTCCTTAATAGATTCGTTCCTATCAGATTTTAGCTCTAACTCTTTAGACCTTAGAGCATTAATGATCACCTCAGTGGTTAGAGTGTCCCTCCCATATTCAATTGCACTTTTAACATCTCTATATTTGTCACCAATTGAATTTAATAAAACCACAGCCAACTGCCCACTTGAGAGTTTCTCATCACAGTTGGCCAGGTCACGGGTCAATCTGTTGAATCTATCAATATTGGACTCAAGGTCAAGAGAAGGATCAAGTTTAAAATCAAAAAACTGTTTTAGGAGATAAACCTTATTTGGCATAGCTTTATTTAAATAGGTTTTCTCCAATTTTTTCCACAATTCAACAGCAGTTTTTGTTTCTCCTACTTCTCTAAGCACCTTATCAGACAAATGCAGAAAAATTGAACTCCATGCAATTTCATCTTGTTCAGTAACTTTACTAGAATCCATATCAGTCGGCCATGACTCATCAATGGCTTTTGCACATTTTTGTTGAAGTAAAAAAGCTCTCATTTTCTGACGCCAGAGACTAAAGTCTCCTTTGCCATTAAAAACTTCCATTTCAAATTTTGGAGCCATTTTGAAAAAGTATGAATGAAAAGGATGTATGCAGATCAATCAGACACCAACCAATAACTTGCAATTCAAATCAGTCAAGTATCACCACACAAAGGACACAACAGAGTACACAGATTGCAAGTACAGAGAGCTGACACTTTCAGAATTATATCACACTGTAAACAATTTAACTAACTCAATACAAACACAATTGTATAGAGGCAAATAATTGTATACAGAACTTCAATCAAGCTTATATAATACTGCAGGAATGATTTTCAGAAAATCAAGATTATCAAGAATCTTGGCTGTGATCCAAGTAACCCTCAGATTCCAGACAACTCTTGGTTTCTGGACAAAGGAACTACAAGGAGCCAATGATTCAGGTTTTAAAAAAAAATAACACACAAGTTAGAATTTCTATTCTATGCAGAGAATCCAACCAAGGCCGAAAACCCCAACCAAACAGAAAATTCAAACCAAGGCAGTAACCAACACAACACAAGGCAGTAAAACCACTCAAGGCAGAAACCAATTGATTCAGAACCCCCAAACTAGTCAGAGTTCTTAAATCAATTTACAGCTAGATTTTACACGTGAATAATTCAAAAAACCAGAAAGATCTCACCAGAGCCCTTTATAAGGGTCTCAAGAAAGCAAGCAGATCACTCAAGATTGCCATATCACTTTTAAGATCGAGCCCAACCAACGTCAAGAACTTCCTCCTTTAAGCTCTGATACCACTGTTGGGAGGAGTTCACACAATTAGCTCAAGAGATTCAACAAAAATATATGTGCAAAATAGAGTCTAAATGAAACTGAAATTATGAACAAGAATCTGAACCAAAACTGAATCAACACTAAGTAAACTGACAAAAACACTAAGTCATATGCCAGAATAAAAACTGCATAAATCGAACACAATCGAAGCTGGAAATACAGAACAATAATCTGTAATACATTCTCAGTAAATCCGAACTCAAGATATAAACTACAATAATCAGGAAACTACACTAAAGTAGAATAATCTGCACAAACGTCAGTACACAAACTGGAACAAAATGACAGAATAGTAAACTGTAAAATGAAAGAACCGTAGCTTTGATAATGGCCGAAACCCACAGGTTTCACTCCTTCAGTTCAGCTCCTCAATCCTCAAGATAAAACGCCACTTTGCTCGAATCACACCCCAAGGTAGATTACAAAGGAGACACTCAGACTGGACCCGTTTATATCACAAAAGATAACTCTCTTCGCACCACAACACAAGATTCACACAAGAACCAACCCTCAACAATGAAATCACACAAGATTTATAAGCTATTGAGAGAAAACTAGAAATCAAATGACCAGATTAGATTTCTACAGCGAAGAAGAGAGGAACACGAAGAAACGGCGCAGAGAGAGAGAGCACGAGAGAATGAGAGAGAGTCTTGCAAGAAGATTACTGTGCAAACCCTAGGGACGGTATTTATAGGAGTCTCCACAAGGTCCCCAATCCAATGGTGATGGAGGTTACACTTGGTGACATCCGGACCGTCCATAAATCAGGTAAGTAGAAACACAACTTCTTCATTTCTCAAACACGTTTCTTGCACCATAAAACAGATTTTGGGCTGGGCTTAAATTCCAGCTGGGCTAACTCAAATGGCCCATTAGGTCATAGCATCATTGTGCCATTTTTCCCTTCAAAAACAGTATAATCACAGTAGTTTAAGGAAAAATTACATTTGTTTATGGGGGCAGAAATTTCAGAATTGGTTAAACATGGGTGCTCTATCTGTCCATATGATATGGAGACATGCCGTATCTCCAATTGGCATGAGTACATTTAATTAATCATCACTTATCTTTAAAATTGTTACTACTTACTCACTCATCTTTAACAGTTACCAAATAATCACTCATCTTTTCATATGATGACTCATCCACCACTCTTTTAAAACTCGTCTCTCCACATGGACGGAAAATTACACGTGGATAACAGAAATTCTACGTGGCATTAATTATGTTTAAGTCACCAAAAAGAATGAAACAAACACGCCTTTATATTATTAACCCAAATCAAAATGAATGAAAAAACAAAACAGAATAAAATTGGGATGCTGCACGGAGAGCTCCGTGCAGCACGAAGAGTTTCTGAGAGTTTCTCCTTGCTGCACGAAGATTTCTTTACTCCCTTTCTTTTAATGAATGATTCTGTCTTTCTCCAATGGCCAATGAAATTAGTTTTGTACATAGGATATACTGGACAGCTTCAAGGAGACAGAATTTTGGTATGCAGATCCTGGAAGCATGTCGGGAAATTCAACGCGTTCTGGATCATTCAGGAGGATACTTCAGCCTCAGCCTCAACGAGTAGTGAAAAATGGTGGTTGCCGGTTCCTTGTGTTCCTTCTACTGGCCTATCTGAGAAATCAATGAAACATTTGTTCCAAAAGCGTGATTGTGCCTACCAAATTCACAAAGCTTCACTGTCCATCAATAATAGCATTCTTGCTGAAATGGAGATACAAAAATCATACCTGGCAACTCTGCCTAAGGTAGGTTGGCACCACGAATTTTTTATAACTGTTACCCCTCGATTCAAAGGTCTAAAGACTCAAGGCCACGTAGGCAGGACGGTCAACAATAAGTCAAAATGGGGCCCAGTAAGTCAAAGATCCCAGTGAAGCCTTAGGCCGAAGTTACATGTCACACGCTTGATATGAAGGATCCCCTGAGAGATAGCATGGGCTTCAGTCCAGGGAGCCTTGGGTGAAAGATCCTCATTTAACTAACCTCGGATTGATGCACACCTTCAAGGCACGATTCGATCCGAGGTTACTACAAGGTCCGTTGACACCCATAAGCCCACGTCACCTCAACAGATTCGAAGATTTCTCTGAACTGATTGATGGGCCGCCAGTAATAAAAGCGTCAGTAAATCCTCCATGGTATTGGCAGCCTACTTCTAGTGCGGCTGACTTTTGTCAAATATTAAATGTGATGTGAAGGTTCAGCTTAGAAGATGTTGCCGCGTGGATCTGATCCAACGATCAATACGTCGTTTGGACAGTATAAATAGTCTACCTTTGTATAGAATAAGAGAGGAGGTTGAATCTTTGTAAGAGAACGAAAAACACAAAGCACTTTGATTCTTGCAACTGACATAGATTGGAGAAGATTTACATATTCAGTTCTTTACATATTTTGCAAACACAATAGCAAATGATATCGAGATTCCAACATAAAACACCATTTTGATCTTATCTATCCTTCCACATATTCCATAACAAAATAGATACTTGTTTGAAGAAAATCGATCTGGCCCTTGTTGATAATGCAAGGGCTGTTTAAAGAAAATTGCCGGAGCTTGAAAAGTTGTGTCTCTTGCCGGAAAGCAACTCCCACGCCCTTTCCAACTACGCTACCGCTCCTGTTCCGGTAGAAACGTGCCGGATTATTGCTTGACGTGGCAAGAGTGGGTCCGGTATCTGTTGACAACATTTTTTGGGGTCAACAATAACAATTGCATAGACCAGAAAAAATTTAGTAATCATTTCTCTAACATCATTTTTGGTGATTCTAGAATGGAAAAGCAAGTGTGGGAGATAATATTCACCACTACATGTATACCACAGAAAAATTTTCCCCGGGTTGTCTTCTTGATTCTCTTGATATAGGCTCTGAACATGAGGCACTTGAGTATGCAGACAAGGTTGAAGCTTCAATGCATACATAGAGACGTAAATGCGTGACTCACTCTAAATCATCATGGGACATGGTTAAGGACTTTGTGTCCGAGATCGATCGAAATGATAAGAATAATGTCTTAGCCCCAAGAACCGAGACCTTGTTGTTTTACCTGAAGCAAAGATATCCAGAACTATCACAAACTACATTGGACACAAGCCTAATAAGTTGATTTAAGGGAGAATTTTGAAAAATTGATTACATTTGTTTATGGGGGCAGAAATTTCAGAATTGGTTAAACATGGGTGCTCTGTCTGTCCATATGACATGGAGACACGCCGTATCTCCATGTGGCATGGAGACACGTGTCCCGTGCCATACAGAGATTTTTTTCCCTTTATCTAGTTTTATAATGAGTATTTAGAGGGAGAGAGAGCAACTAGTTTATGGCAAATAAATTACAATATTTTAGTGGTTATGAATGAGTTCAAATTTACGAATGAGTTCCAAAAAAAACTTTGTTTCTGCCTTATTGTTCTTCTGCTTCTGGGGTCTGCATTGCTGCTATTTTTCCTGCGATTTCTTGGTTGTAGTATTGCTACGGAGAAGAAAGCGCTTGCAGAGGCGGAGGTAGTGCCGGTTACAGGTGTGAGCGTCAAGGATGCAGTGGCGGAGGTAGTCCCTGACAGACAGTATTGGATGCTTAACCCTGACAAATCTAGGGAATGCGGATTATGAAAACAATTGGAGAAATGTTTAAACGACTTCGTTTTGGTTGACGATGGGAGAATTCAACACCTGTAACAAAAAAATTTGGCTCTTTTATATTTGTTAGGAAACAAACAATTAAACAATCAAACTCTTATTTGATTTCTCAAAAAGGGTCTTTTTTTTATCTTTGATTTTATCACAAACTGAGAGTAGATAGTGGACGGCTTCTATTGGATTAGTAAATAGGAAAGATTTACATTAGGTCTTAACCACTAAAATATTTTTGCCTAATTATGATTAAGCCTTAAAATTCTACTTTGACTAGAATAACTGAGGAAAACAAATTCTGTGATAAAGTAATGCCTAATTACTAACAAAAGAATTAATCCCTTAAGATTCATTTATCTATACCTCTTTGATTGCTCTAAATTGGTTTGATCTAATCCAAATTGACTTTTTCTCGAATCCATGATGCTTCATTTAATAAGAAGTATACAACGAGTCCATATTAATATACTAAAACTCGCTATATCAAAATCTAATTTTTTTTAGTCAAAATAAAATTGAATTTTTCTTATTTCACTTTAAGTTCCTCAACTAAAAAATAGCATATAGAACAAAAAAAATTATTTCTATAATTTTTTTTGGGACGTCACATGATGGGCTTGACCCGATTCTAATATAATATCAATTATATTAATCTCAACATCTATATAGATAAAAGGATAGTGCGACCATCGAGTTAATTTAAGAGCACGCAACACTAACACATGTTAGGGATATATAGTAGCTCTAGAAGATGAAATATATTTCTCATTATACCCCAAACATATTTTGCAACACCAGTTCGAGTATTTTTAACCCCTCAATTAATCAAAGAACATATTCAACTTTCTCATCTTTGTTGCATTCACAATTGTGTTGCAAACTCAAAATGTTAACACAATTGTCTAGCCGGTGAACACAAGCTGAGGTGTTACATAAAATAGTCTTCATTTTCTACTTGAATCCCTTCGCTTCAAGTCAGCTGCTTTCCTAGACACGTTCCATCAAACCAAATCAACCATAGTTGTTGGCAACGTGCTAAAATAGGAATAACGAAATAAAATTCTGAGAAATAGCCAAAAGTCATAAGAGCATATAAGTGAGGTCGTATGTGCCTCAAAGACTTATACAATCAAGAAGTAAGGATCAATTATTTCATTTCTCATTGGTCATTAAAGCATTTGTGGTATGAAACACGTATTACGGTGATTTTTCCTTTTCTTATGGCATATGTCTATTCTTACAAATTAAATATACCATACAAATCATAGTTCAGACGTTCTTTGATATCTAACTTGAATTGGAAATCCCAATTGAGATCTCGATCTAGATATTAAATAGGTCTAATGGATAGCAAAATCCATTTCGATTACTTGTTATAATCTCATCTTGACATCTCATCAAGGTAATTGGATCAGGTACATAACATGGTCACCGTGTTACATGTTTGCATGAAACCCGCAAGCGTACGGGATCGTTGTACAAGTAATAATATTTGTGAGTTAAGAGTATCGTTCCCACAAGGAATAAGGTCTAATTTGTAGTTCAATAGCTACTATTAAATTCGAAGTGTGGTAATATCAAAAAGAGATGATTTGTATGTAATCTATATTAATCATAAACTAACAAAATAAATAAAGTGTTTATCTAATATGTAAATGTTTGTATTGGAATCGTGAATCTCCCTATTGCCATTTATTTCAATTCTTAATTCGTAATCTAGTAAATTCATACATTCAAGACAATCGATAATCCACTTTTATTCAATATTCTTTTCCAAGATATATTAAACATATGTTTAACATGACCCGATCCTATTACTAGTCCGAATTCATATGAAAAATATGTATTGAATCACATGATTTATCACATATGATTGCACATGCCATAGATATTATTCCTAATACATATTGTCCATGTGTCGATTTTGTCGCGTTCTAGACTTATTGTGAGTATTCCTACACTACAACAAGTAACTTACTATCTAATTGGTGATCAAGCAATCAAATAGTTCAATGAGAATGCAAAACCAATCAAGAAAAATCAAGAAGTACTAAATTAATTGTCTCGAATTAAAACAAATAAGCAATAGGGTTCATCATTCATCCAATACAATGAAAAACTAGTCGAACATTCTTATAATTAAATTATACAAGAATAATTGGAAAAAGGTCACCCGGAAATAAGAAAGATGGAAGAATTAGGAAAAATCCACGTTCTTGATGTGAATCTTGAATCCGGATGAAAAATCTTCAATATCCTATGCAATTCGCCTTGATTCCACGTTGTTCGTCATGTTCTTCGCCTCCAAAATATGTATAATATAGAGATTTTTAGGTCTAGGGAGAGTCTTCATATGTATTCTGCTGTTATCTCTTTATAGGAGCCGAAAATTGGTTAAAAATTACGTCCAAATTGGTTTCCAAAAGAGTTCTAATCGAATAAGGAAAGTTGCCTTCGCGCGCGAATTTTTTTTCTCTGCACAGCAGTCCGTATTTTAGTTATAACTTTCTCTCCTGATACCCGATTGATTTAGTTTAAAGTGCGTTGGAAAGATAACTCAAAGGGATACAACTTTGATAAAAATAGAGTTTTTCCAATTCGGACGTTTACTGTACCGAAAAGGGGTCTAAATGTTCGTTTAAAAATCTGGAATATATCTTGTGCGATTGGAAATTGACTTTGATAATACTTTGATCATGTTCCATACCTTTTTGAATTCTAATTCCATCCAATTGTCTCATAGAAATCTTCAAAGTATCTTCTTAACTATTTGCAATTTGATATTCGAACTTTGAATTTTACCATTTTTCGCCATTTTTACATTCTTTTCTCCAATTCTTCATCAAACATTGAGTTTTGCCTACAAGATGCAATATAACATAATTTAGGTCGTATTTTGCCAAAACGACAATAAAATATCATCATTTAGGATCTTGAATAAATATAGAAATTACACTTATCATAACACCCCGAAAATTTCATAAACACTGGAGTGTTGCCAAAATTCAATTTTGTTTGTATTAAAGGCGGAATGAAAAAATAATATTCTTTAATAAAAAAATAGTGGAATATCCATAATTTCAAACTAAACATGAAAATTTTATCGTTAAGAAAATAACCTAATTACTAATTAAATAACACGTCTTTCAACAAATAAAACTAACTACTAAATTAAAGGAAAAAGAACTTAATATTTTTATTTCTTCATTTCCTCAGCAAGTCTGCATCACCATCCTACCACAATTTCAATTGGCTCGAACTAGTATGTAAAATTTTGTAAGAGTGAGTATTTAAAAATATACTTTAAGATACTTCCAACTTCTTTACACAATTATATAACAATAAAATAAACATTTCATATCACTCTTCTCTTATGGAGTGTATCGGTAATCAAGAGACAAACCCATCTTAGGTCATCTTAAATTCCCCGTAGGATTTTATATTTTTTAATAAAGAGCCCGAAGGTCCACTGTAATTCATGCATACATTATTGAATATAAAAGTATAAGGAAATGAACTACTGGTACAAATGTATCTTACCCTGATTTGATGAGAAAAATTTTTGAAAACAAAATTCAAAATCACACTCCAAATCTTCAAATTTTCTTAGCTGCCTTAAAATTGAAATTTGCCTTCTGCTTGTGTATGTGTGTGTGTGTATTACTGATTTCTTTCTCTATATGTCGTGGCCCTCTAAATTTATGTTGTATAATACTCTGCCTTCATGGGGAATATATGGGGTCTAGTATATAATAATTAGATTTCATTGCAATAAGGAGACGTGACCGTGTACCGTCAATGGATTTGTATAGAATAGGTTATTTTAATCCCAATGTGTAATAGTGGTAGTAGCTTTTATGTAACGACTCGGGTCCCACTTAACGGGCTGTCCTGGCCGTTAGATCGATGACGTACTGTCCTCACTGTACCAACATGGGTCTTTTCAGCATGCTTTATCCTCACTCGCACGCTCCCCGAGAAAACTTCCTAGGGGGGTCATCCATCATAGAATTGCTCCAAGCCAAACACGCTTAACTGTGGAGTTTCCAACGATGGACTTCCGGAAAAGAAGGTGCACCTTGTGATATGAGTAGTACCTATCAAATCTCTTAAACTTTCTTGGTCTG